ACTTACCCATTTTGGTTTTATTTCCAGATTTTTAATTATAGAATGCAATGATGATGCAGTAAACCATGCATCCTGACAAGCATCAGTGGACCAATGATCTATTGCTTCTACATTGATTTCAGGATCTTCATTGGATTTAGTATATATAACAAAGTGGTATTGTAATGTCCAGCCTTTTTCCAAAAAAATCATTTTTTGTTTCACATGAGGAATAATAAGAATGAGTCAAGTTAAAACAAAAAAAATAAAAAAATTACTAAATTTTTTGTCTTACTAACCATCCTTAAACCGATTATAATGTTGTTTCATCTTTATACCATTTATTAGCATTTCAATTCCCCATCTGTAGCTGGATATATAAAAATCAATGAAGCCTTCAACCATGAATGTTCTTCTAACATTTGTTGATAAATAACACACCATCAGGTAAACAACTATGTATTGCATGATAAAGTTCCATTTGCCATGCAGCTTCTAATAAGTATCCATTTTTTGAACATCCAAGGTTATGCTTTAAAGTATTTATATCTATTTCTGGATAATGCCTCATGCAATAACTTACGTAATGTAAGTTTACCAGTCATAGGTCTTCTAAAATTTTCAGCAGACACAGTGGTGATGGCAGCAGACATGGTGGTGGCTAGGGATGTTAAACAGTCCTAAAAGACTGGTGGACTGACAGTCTGTCCTTGGACTGGATTGGACTTTTCTCAAAAGAGACCAACTGGTAGTCTTTGCAGTCTTTATCATGTGAAATGGTCCTAAACCAGTCTGTCTTGGACCATTTCTATATTGAAATTGTTACACTAGATTGGTAAAATGGTCTTTTTTCAAATAGGGACTGAAGTTTAAACTGGTCCATCTTGGTCCAGTCAGCATAGTAGAAATTCAATTATATCAGAAATGTGATGATCATTTGTGATATATGCAAATTTATATTGTGCTACAATTAATTTCAATCATATGGGCGGATTTGACTCACATTCAATTTTGTCACACTTCAGAAATGTGACAATTTAATGATTTTATTATTGT